GCCTCGGGTTCCCCCCCCCGACCCCAGGGTCGGGCGGGCCGCGGCGGGACCCCAGCCCCACCTCCCCTTCCCCGGGGGCCCGCTGCCCGCCCCGCCTCCCCTCACCCGGGAGCCACACACGGGGTCGGGCCGCCCAAAACTTTCCGGCCCGGCCTGGCACCTCGGCCCCGGATTTGCTGGAAGGATTTGGGGGATTTGGGAAGAGAAAATAAATAAATAAATGAAGAGAAAAGGGGGGGGGGGCTGACCGGGCACAAGCCCCGGAACTGGCGGAGGGCGTTGGCCACCTGTCCCGCCGCCCCCTCCCGCCGCCGCCGCCGAGCCACCGCCCGCGCCGCGGGGAAGGAGGGCGGAGGGGCACAGGCGGAGGAGGCTGCTCCTAGGGGATGCCGGCGGAGGGGAAGCGGGACAGGCGTCCCCCCCCCCGGTTGCCGGCGTTTCTTCCCTGTCCGCGGGGTAAAAACGGGGGGGGAAGTAAAAAGCCGCATCGCTTCCCCCTGCCCCATCTCGAAGGAAAGGGCGGGGGGGAAAGCAAGCAAGTAAGCAAGCACGGCGGCTCGTCCCGGTTCAGCGACGTACCTGCCTGGCTGCTGCTGCAGCGGGCCGCGGGAGCACGCCGGCGGCCTCCCTTGACCCGCGCCCGCCGCGGCGGTGGCTTCCGCGCTCCGCGTCCCTTCCCGTCCCGGTCTGAAATGGCGGGGGACGAGGGGAGGGCTGGGGCTGCCGAGGGAGCCGAGCGCCGAGAGGATGGATGGAGAGACGGATGGACGGGGCGGCGATCGATGCGCTCCGCGCTCTACCCGGCCCCTCCCTCCTCCTCCTTCCTTCCCCCCTCCTCCTCCCGCCGCGCCGCCTCAGCCGCCCGCGGCCGGGGGAGGGAAGGAAGGGGAGCTCGGAGGCGGCGTGAGGGAAAGCCCGGCCGGGAAGCGCGCCCTGGAGGGTGGGTGAAGGGAAATAAGTATAATTCCAGCTTTTCCTCGCTATTTTCCCCTTCCTCTCACGCCGGCAACTGAGGGAAGGGAGGATTATCGGCCTTCCTACCCGAGGGGAGCGGGCTGGCAGGCCGGGCCAAAGGCAGCATCTAGCTGAAAGATAAAAAGCATTTTATCCACAAAAACAGCAGCAGGGGGCTTGCGGGACTTGCCGGGCAACTTCGGCGCTCGTTAAAAGTTGGTCGGCTTTCACTCGAGGATTTGTTATTAGCTACCGAGGCGCTGTGTGTAAAAGCTGATGAACACGGGGTGTTCTGGAAGCAGAGTTAACAATTGCATAGCGAAGCCCGTTTTCTTATTAAAAGGCCAAAAATAGAATTCCCTGTAATTGTAAAGGCTCTGATGTGTTGATTGAGGCGCTGTAATGTCAGGTATAGGCCCACGTTCCATCCCAAGCAGTAGGATTCTTCTGAAGCCCCCCACCAGCTCTCGGACAAAAGCCGTGACCCTCATTGCTAAGGAAGGTTGTTCCTGAGGGTAACTGGGGCGACGTGGACTGGCTCACACGAGGGGTTCATTTGGCCGGTTTTGCTTTCCGTCTTGTAATGGGAAGGTCAAAAATAAACATGTCATGTCTATGCATCAGGTGGGAAGAGCTTTAATGTGTTTAATCCACTTGTTTTCTGCGGCTGTGTGTGACAGCTTCCAGCCTCTTCTGTTCTCGCTGAGGGGCTCTGCGTTTGGGCTGTGACCCAGCTGAGCACTGAAGGCATTAACCCTCTGGAGCTATGCTGCCTAATGGACAAAGTGTGTTCCTGTGATTAACTCACGTAAATAATCAATCCAAAGCCCCCGGTGGTGTTGTTCAGCCCTGCTCCCTGATGCTACCGCTCAGGTTAAGACCTGGGTGGAAATCAAATGCATCTTTGAGCTGTTGTGTGAAACGTGGTGTCTCTTTGGGCAGAGAGTGCGAAAGATCAGATAAGCTTTTCCTGCATTCTTGAAATGAACCTTTTGTCACTGATTTCAGTGTCCTACGGACTCCTATGGGAGCTTAGAATCATAGAATCATTGAGGTTGGAAGAGACCCTTGGGATCATCGAGTCCAACCATCTACCCTACTCTACAAAGTCCTCCCCTACACCATATATTACAGCTTCTGTAAGGATACTCATATGCAGCGGGAGGGTATATATTGTCATGAAATTGGGAAACTCTTTATGATCCCCCTTTCTCCTCTCCCAGTGGTTTAGGTGTTAGTAACCTGGTTGTTTTTTTGTTAAATGCTCTTACTGTCTTGTTTCCCAATAGCCTCAACAAAAATACGTATCACGGTATAACATGAAATCATCTCACAAATTAGAATTAAAACTAAGTGATTCAGTTTGCTTATTGAGTGGGCTACCTCACGTGAACAGATGTAAAAACCGAAAGAAAGACCTGCTTTCAAAGAACAAGTAGCCTGGTGGTAAAACCACAAGCTTGGGATGTGGGAAACCCACATTCCCATCTGTGGTATGAAAGAGGCAAAGAAATTTGAATGCAGATGTTCTGTAACTGAGGTAAATGCCCTGATCAGCAATTTTAGGATAGCTGGATCTCACTTTCATATTTTTTACACACACACACACACACCCCAGGAAAGCTATTTGTGTGTTGTGGTTCCTCCTAACACAGTGGGAAAATGCCTGCGTAACAGGAAATCTTGCCCAGTTCTGCACAAAATGCTGGTGTTCCCCAAACAGCTTGGATGGGTTGTTCTCATCTACAGGGCTTTGTATGGGGAGAAGCTGTTCATCTTGAAACCAACACAGTCCCAGCTGGGATCAGAGGAGTATCTGGAGAGCAGTTGCCTTTGGTGGAACCCTCTCTGTGGAAACTTCAGGTCCTGATGACAGCTTGAATCGATGAAATGAAAATTCGTATCTCAATGAAATGTGCAAACAATCATTTTGCATACAGTTGGAGGGAAAATGAATTATTGGGATTCTGGAGACAGCTGATTGCAAAGCTTGATGTGTTTTATTATTTTTTTGGTGCATAGATTTGTTTATAAATGTCTATTACGAAATTGCTGTTTGCTTTAATTAAAATTCATTTAGAAATATCTTCTCAGGCTTATGTGTGAAGTGTTTTGAACACAGGCTGAAATGAGCTCATCCAAAATATTAAGTGCTAACCCATACGCTGCACTGATAGGAAAGCTGGCGAAAAGTCAGCACAAGTGATGCAAAACCTCCTGGATTTTACAGAAACGCTGCTCTATGAGTTACCAACTTCATTTTAATGATTGTTTCTTCAGTGCAATTTGCCCAGAGAATTCTGAACACAGGCAACGAAGACGCACGTCCTCAAATCCCAAAACACTTCGGTGTGTGCTAGCGCTAAATACATTTGTTAAGTTAAAGCATGTTAAAGTTAAAGGCTTCTTCACATTTACATTAAAATATTCCAGTCCCAGTCTTCTGGATCCTGTATGGATATGGATCTCTGAGGACAAACCACTGCTCACAGCTCCTTACTCTGACAAGATGCTGCCCTTATCGTATCAAGCACGAGGCCCAAATTCAAGTATAATCCCATCAGCCACATACGTACGCGACTCAGATTTGCCCAATCCTCAACACCACACAATAAAGTCAGTGACATTTTAAGAATATATGAGCTTTCACCACCCATCAGCAGTTGCGAGGTGGGGGGAAGGAAATGTAAAATACAGCTCCAACCTCCAGATAAATAGTAAGCTTTCCCTGTAACAGAGAGTGTCAGACAAGCTGAGACAAGAGTTAATTTTCCTGTGGCTTTCCCTGGCATTGAACTCGATGCAAAGCAGATGCAAAGCCACTGCAGAGTTACTACAGGAAGATAAGTGGGTTTGTGCAACTTCGAGTTTGCCTGCAACGAAGGAGGAATATTAGCAAAGAGCATTTTTCTGTCACACACAGATAGGCCAAGGGTCCCTGGCCCATACGGGCAGCAGTGATCCATGTGTTGTCAGATAACCAGCAACAGAGATTCAGTCCTGGCCACGCATAAGCACGCGGTTATACTCCAGGTGGTTTAGCCAGAGGTCACAGTGCTGGCACTAACAGCAGTTTCATGTTTTTAGGCCACCATTCTGGCACTTGGCACAAGGACAGACAAAGGTTCTGAAGATGTCTGACCTGGCTGCCCGAGCTCACACGGGCTGTGTGGTTCGTTTTACGCAGGAACCTTATTTTGCTCTGGTGTAAGAAAGATCCCATGTGTCACCCAGGACCAGCATTTGAGACATTCCTGTCACTTGGGATGTACCAGCCTTTGGTTTTTACCTTTTCCTCTTCTCCTCCCAAGAAAACTAAGACTTTTAAGGAAGTCCTGCCAACTTTGCTGTGTTGCCCTACTGTTGTGAAGGCAGAAGGTTTTTCTTTTTAAGTCCTATCTAAAGCAGTACCAACGCCCTTACAAATTTTTGTCTGCTGACACAGCAGGATGCAATTATATTCCCCAAGACTTTTAACTCACTAACTCAAGACAGGATCTACAAGACACGTATAGGACAGCATACAGTGAACTTAAATATATAAATGTTTACGTCCATAGATAAGTATCTCTGTATATGCAATTTTAAATACGTGTGAGTTTATAACAAGATAAAGGCTGTAGTTCTCATGGGGTATTAATTTTTGTGCCCTATCAAATTTCCTGTGGTGGTATGTTACATGTGTAGACTGAAGTTTAACATAGATGAATTCACACAGTATGCAAACGTAGCATATAGGGACTCACACTGAATGTGAATGTGTTTTGCCTTGTCCCTGCAAATCTTTTTTAAATTATCTGATGGGCCCCAAGAAATCCACAAATCCTAAACCAAAAATTACCTTTCAAATGCTAGGACATATAGAGCACAAGTCTAGGTTCTGCTCCTTTGGCTTCAGTGGCAGCTAGGTACTCCACTACCACACAAGAATAGTGCAAAGTCCTGCAAACCTTCCTTCTTTTTTATATGTAGGCACTAAGGAAACATGGTTAATGTATTTTTTCTGCAATAACATCAGGCTTAGCTTGAAAGCAACACGCTAAGCTACACCACATTACTGGTATTTGTCAATGGTTAGACTTTTGGTTTAATTCAGCTGTCTCTGACTTTTTGAATATAGTTCTATGCTAAAAATGGGGTGGGGAGAGAGGAACAGTTCAACTGTGAACTATTCTTTAGAAAACTGGATGCTTTTGCCATTCCACTAATGTCATCTGGCTTTAATTAACATAGCATCTCTCTAATTATATTGTCAGCATACAGCCACTAAATTAAAATACAAAGAGAATTGTTAAAATTTCCCAATTTAACTTTGGTATTTCTTTTAAAGCATGATTTTTCAAGTTTTGCATATATAGGAAATCATCCAAAGCCCACTGAAGTTAATGGTCTTCATTCTGATTAGTCCCAGAAATGTTTGGAAAAATCAGTGGGGTGGCCAAATTGCCTCTCTACACCAAGTGATTAGATACCTCATTTCTATTATTGGCGCCCGCAGCTCATCACCCAAAAATAAGTGGGTATGCAACGCCGATCCAGCGGGTCTCTCAAGGGACTGAAGACCACCTTGTGGGGAGAGAAAGAGAGCATTAGCTACAGTGGAAGTTCACCATCCCACCACACCCATGCCTTTAGGGTGCCAAAAAGAAACTCAAGGGAAAATGACTTAAGGAGATCTCTCCTACCCTAGACAGTGTGACTGGGTTGGCTGCAGCAAAACGTAGCCCTGAGACATGCCAGACATCTGCTCCTCAAGTGG